AAGGGTATTTCTCTGAGAAGCTGATATCCAAACTAGAAGCCTTAGCTTTCTCCATGGCATTCAATTTTTTTTTTCAGATAAAAGCCCTCTACTTTTGGAGTTTTAAAATTTTTTTGCTTGTTGGCAAATGCCAGTAAAAGGTACTCTGGGCAAAGGATTTGGGGAGAAATATGGTGGTGGAGACTAATGCAGCTGTTCTGTTTTACAAATCTTCAATTAATTCCCCAGTTTAAATCCCCACTTCTCATTTCTGTTCCCTTCTGTCCTTGTTGACTCTGAGCCCAGAGTATCTCCAGGATTCTGCCAGGCAGGCTGGCTCCCATCTCCTCTGTAGCTTCCTCATAACATATTCTAGACTGTGGTTTCATCCATCTGTTTCACTCACCATCTTGCTCGTATCCACTTTCCTTCTCCCAGAAATGTGTTGAGATCTCTTTTGTTGGCATTCTCTTCACCTTCATCTCATTCTTTTTCCTGTTAGAGCTTTATTCCTTTATGTATTGCTGTACTTTTATTTTAATGGACTCCAGGAGGGATTGTGAGCAACGCATGTACCTAGTCCAACATCTTGAACCGGAGTCAACAAATAGTTTAGAGCACTTTCCCTGTAGCAGGTACTATACTAGGTGCTGGGGGTATAAAAATGAGTGAAACTTATTTCCTGGTGTCAAGAAGCTCATAGTGTAGTAGCAGATGCGGTCCTATGCAACAGATATTAAAATGGGACTTTTCCTGTTTCAGTTCTGGATGCGAATCCAAAGCTGAAAACAAAGGATCACATGCCATCTTTACACAATTTGCTAAAGGATGACGTACAAAACATGATCTGTGGCCCCTTAGACTATTACTTACCCTAAGGGAATATAAAGAGAGGCTAGGGGTTTGATTGAGTGGAATGTGGTAGAGTGGATGGTTTCAAAGAGAGTTGTATGAAAGACTTGGAGTTGTTTCTGCTCATGAGGGACTGGAGGAGGTACTTCCCACTCACTAAAGTGGAATGGGGCCACAAGTGAACCACTCTGAGGCCTGACATGAATTCCCTGGGGATTGACATTTGTAGGGACTGGCAACTGACTTACATCTGAAAACAAAGTCTTACGGTGAGAGAGGCTGTGGCTCAAGCAGCCCGTGGACAACAGAGGAGAGAGAGAGGGCTGCATCTGCAGGGAGTTTTACTTCCACCAACATATGGGCAAAGCTGTTTCCCAGGGGCCAGACATAGTCCTCATATTAGGAATTTAGAGTTGAGTCATCTTATTAGGGACCTCCCCTAAGAGGGCTGCTCAGAGGTGTGAAGTGACCCCAACAGAAGAATAGCCTCACAGAAACCAGAGACAGAGATGTTGAAAGAGGCCAACCAGAGGAGATGTTGCCCAGGTCAAGGAAACTGCAGGGGAGAGGTCTCCAGTGACAGGAGAACTCCAAGTAACCCTCTAGAGAAAGTATCAGCTTTGAACATCTGCGACACTCTCCAATCCCAGGTTAAAATTGAATCAGTAAAGGAAAGCTTGTTTGGGCCCTTCCTTCTAGTCCTTCCCTGTGCTTCAACCCTGGAGGCAGGGTTGGAGGCAGCATACTGAATGTGGGAGGAGAGAGAGAAGAGAGAAGGGATGAAGCGGGAAGCCAACCACACTCCCTGCCCTTCCCCCACTACAAGTTTCCTGCTAAGTTAAACCTGAGCTGCGGGAGGGGTGAAGCTTAGAAATGGGTGACAGATTGAAGCTGTGATATATTAGACTGGACTGGAATTTTTAATGCCTAAAAAACAAAACTTTCTTAATATCTGAGAGTGACTGAAAAAGGAATGAGCTCTTTTTGAAATTTCACGCAGGGGTTGGGGAAAATGAGTCCACAGAGCTTGTGGTGTGAAGCAGTGGTGTGAAAGAATTCTATTGCTTTCTGCTTACACCCTACTGTGTTTAGCTCCTTCAATAAACTAGTTTATATAAGTGCCACACTATATGTATAGTCAAGGTCCAGTGATTGGGAGAAGCAAGTAATAGTCTCTTCCCAGGGAGGCCAGGGAAGACATGATACCTCTCAGTGCTTGAGCTGGATTTTAAAGAACAAGGAGGAATTTTCCAGGTAAGGGTGAAGTGGGAGGACATTCCAGGAAAGGAGAACAGGATGTACAAAAGTAGGAGGTGTATGTGGGCAACAGCATGTGGTTTAATGATTTCGAATCACTGTAGTGTAAACTTCAGTGGGGGAGGGGGGGAGGTTGAGTAACATTTGGGAACCTGCTTAGGAAATGGCTTTTTTCTGAAAGTGACAGAGGGTCAGAAGAACCAAATATTTTAAGCAAGGCAGTGACACTATCAGATTTTCATTTTAAAAGATCACTTTTGTCACAGTGTGGTGGGTAGATCGGTGGGGATTGTGGAGGCTGGGAAGCAATGCAGGTTCAAACTGACCCAGTCAAGGAGATCTCTTGATTATCTGGAGATATCCTAATAATAGACCCATCTATTTTTAAAAACATTTCATCTAAATATAGTAGGCTTCCCAGCTTGAGTCCTGGCTGGGATTTTGATTTGTCTGGGCTTATGCAATGAACTGCAGGGATGGGCAGCTGTAAGTCTTTTAGCATGAGGCCCTGTGAGGACTCCTTAAAGAGAACTCACTCTAAGACAGTGATTCTTAACCTGGGGTTCATGAATAGAATTCATGGGGTCTGTGAACTTGGAAGGGAAAATAATTACATCTTTGAAATTTAGCATTTACCCCCAGTTATGAACATAGGCAACAAACCACATCAGTAGTAGCAGTATCTGTGACTCTGTCATGGATAGAAATCACAGATATTTTTATATCACTGACAAGAGATTTTCACATATTGGGGTATAAGGAGTAACTATGCTCATTGAAAACTGATTTGGCTTGAACTGAAAAAAGCCTGACTTTGGCCTGTCAAACATACATTGTACATCTGCTTTAACTATTAAATTAAAGAAAGCACTCTCTTAAGATTAGAATGCGTACTTCCCCTCCTAGCCCTGTTGGTAACACCCGTATTAGTCCCTTTCCCGACATCAGGGTCATGTTGACCTGCTAATTTGCAAATGAATACCTCTTTGAAACTTTGATGAATATGTATCCTGGGCATTTAGTCTATGTTCCTTGTTTTAAAATTGTATGACTGTACTGAAAACCATGCTTCTTCAGAATGCTTTCTTCGTTTCTGGAAAAGCCCTTCCTGGGTTATAATCCTCACTCTGGCTCAAGTAAAACTCACCTCTCTCTCTTATCTATAGAGTGGTTAGTGGTTATTTTGCAGCAACATCACATTGCAATTTTTTCAGATGTCTCAAAATATTATTTACTCAAGCACTACTTTGAATTATTGTGGTGTTAGATTTGCTGCTAGATCATTTATTTAATGTTTTAATAAAAGTATATACATTGCCATATAAAATTTATACTAAAAATAGTTTGATAACTGTATTTCAATATAATTGGTTTCCTTTGTAATCTGATATATTTTATTTTATTAATTTAAGAACATTATCCTGAGAACGGGTCCATAGAGTTCACCAGACTGCCAAAGGGGTGCATGGCTCACAAAAAGTTCAGGAACTGCTGTTTAAGGAAACAAGAATCACTCACATTTGTCTCCCTGTCTATTTACATGTGAGACTGAGTACTGTAGGGGAGGAAAAATAATTTTCCCTCCACCCTTCTAGGTTCTTGGCTGAGACCCCCCTGTAATGAAAGAGAGATTATCAGGAGAAAAACAAACAGAAGTTTAATAACATGTATGCCTCCTGTATACATGGAAGAGACCCAGGACAACTGAGTGACTCTCTGAAATGCCCCAAGCCACCACCATAAATACCATCTCCAGATAAAGACAAAAGATGTTGGGGGAGGAGCCACTTATGGGAGGTTATCAGGCAAAGCACAGTAAACCAGGGTAAGATGGTTATGCACACTTAAGTCATTCCTTCTCCATTGATGAGAGTTTATAGAGATTTAGTCATCCTTCTCTTCCTAGTACAGAGAGGGAGACACCCTTACAAATGGAGATTTCCCTTATAAACATAAATTGCTCTTACTAAAGAGTAACTTCTACTAAGTTTTCAGAGCTTCTCGTCCGTCTACTGTTTCTTAAAAATAACCAACCTAAAATAATCCTTATGCCAAAGAGGCATATTTTGAAGTGGAAAATTCTGCTCCCCTTCAGCAGCTTATGGATGAAAGCGATATCTGCATACTCCCAATAAGAACAATGAAGCTTTAGTTCACTTATACTACCCTCTCTTCGTCCGTCACTAAAAAAGATAATAAAGCACAAGCAGCCTTCTTCCCCACTTGGCAGCAGAGCACCATGCAGATCTGACATCTCCAGACTCTAGTGCCTCAGCTTCAGTGAGATATTGAGGAGTCTGGTGGGAGATGGCAGGAGATGCCTAGTGGGGGACAATGGTGCCTGGCTGATGCTATGAAGCCCAGTGAAGAGAGTGGGCAGGAGAGGTGGAAGTAGAAAAAAATGGCAGAAATCACATGGTAGCTGATTAGACAGCTGGTTCAAGTCATTTGTGCTCGCAGCTGCTATCTACTCCCCAAGAATACCTAGAAACACTCTGGAAGACCCTTAATTGAAGAAGCTGGGGTTTGGGGTGCATTGAATGGAGGAACCAGTGAAATTTAATGATTACATTTAACAGGACCTCTGTTAAATATAACAGGTTGGAGCAGCCTGAAGAAATTTGGGTTCCAGAGCTATTTGTTGGGAGAGTGGCAGCCATCATATTGACTTTCATTATTACTCTTTAAATTTTTATTTTTTTATTTATTTGCTTTTTTTTGAGGAAGATTAGCCCTGAGCTAACATCTGCTGCCAATCCTCCTCTTTTTGCTGAGGAAGACTGGCCCTGAGCTAACATCCGTGCCCATCTTCCTCTACTTTCCATGTGGGACGCCTACCACAGCATGGCTTGCCAAGCGGTGCCATGTCCGTACCTGGGATCCGAACCGGTGAACCCCGGGCCGCCAAAGTGGAATGTGTGAATTTAACTGCTGCGCCACCAGGCCGGCCCCTCATTATTACTTTTTTATATAAAAGATAAAAAACCAAGGGAGCTCTCCTTTTTGTATTCAACATTCCATTAGTTGAACATCCTCTACACATGTTTACAGAAATATTTTATGACCTGAGAATAACTTCAGAGGTTGAGAGCATATTTCCCCCAGTATTTGCTTTAGAGCTCACTTGAGTAATCAGCTCCCAGCTTCCAGAACAAATCTTAGTTTTCTTGAACAGCAGTATCATCAGTCATTCATTGATGTATATTTGAATGGAAAAAGTGCCAGGTGTTTCAACTTCATCCCCAACAGGTTTACAATCAAACTGTGAGTACTTTGCTGTTGGTTTAGAAAGGTTTGTTTGGTGGTTGGTTGGTTGGTTTTATGTACAGAAAAGGAATTCTATAATCCCTTGGGTGGAGATGTGCCACTGGAAATGTTGCTATGCTGTGACAAAAAATGCTGAGTTTACCGTCATCTGTGGCCATTGAGATTTATCAATTGTACATTGAGGTTCCTTGCATTACAAATGCAGGGTATTTTTTTTCTTGCAGGGTATTCTTTTAAGTTGACCATGGTATTGACAAGTAAACGAAAAGCAATAGGATATATTGGAGAATATGAGGAAAGCTTTTGGTGTAAAACTAATTTGGTCTGACCTTGTTTTTCCAAAAGTGCATGAACTGGCCTGTTGAGCATGTGTTACATATTTGCTTTAAACATTTACTATGTCTCAAAGACAAGAATGATGCCCTTAAAGATACGGATGTAGCTTCCCCCATACCGGCATTTCTTTAAGGATAAGCATCTCTTTCTGGAAACTAAGGATTAATTACTAACCTGCTGTGCTCACTTTGTGACCACTGACTTGCTGACCACTGACCTGCTGTGCCAGCTAAGCATCTCGTGGCAGAAGTAAAAGAGATATGTCTGTCATATGTGATGTTCGCTCTTTGTTCCAAGATCTTATATAACCACTGTGTACACCCCACTTCTTTGGTGCCCTTTCTTGCCCTGGGCTATTGTCCTCAAATCTGGCTCGTAATAAACTCACCCCAATTTTGGTTTACAGGTTGGTTACAGATTATTCTCGCCAACAGTATTAAATAGAATGATGTGTGACAAGTGCGTAGAACAGTGCTTATTGGCACAGAGTGAGTGCTTGCTAAATGTTAGCTCTCATCAACATCATCCCTTTCACCATATCATCCCACCCAACAAGCATGGATTCGGATAGTACTCCCCAGGCAGCTGCCCTTCTGTATAGAGTATACATGTGAGCAGAGGGCCAGAGGAAGGGAAGAATTAGACAAAGAAATTCTTCTCACTTGGTGTGAACTTGCTTACGTGGTTACGTTTCAATGGAAAAGGAGATGAACTGAAGGTTCAGCTTCGTAAGGGCTTAATTTGTTAAGGAGAACATTCCCCAAAATGTTTTCTGTGGAAAATTAGTCCTGCAAGATCCCCAGAAGAAAAGAGGTCCCTTGTCAAATAAGTTCATTAAATACTATATACTTTAGCTCTCCCTCACCTTGCAGAGTCATAGTATACTTTAGCACACCAAGCAAGCTGAGAAATCCCCCAGCAAAAAAACCTATTTAATTTTTTAAACTCAGTTTGACAATGTTCCTTAGCCATATAACTCCTTTTTCTTGTGAAGGGGTTTAGAATGAGCCTCCCCAAAAGGCGCCACTTTGGCATGCAGATTACTTTGACCTGAAATCAGTCAAGACCCAGCAGATTCCAGGAAAACTTCTACCTCTCCCTTAACTACCTAAAAGAATTCAGATAGGGGACCCGGCTCAGAGAGAGTGAGCTGTTACCAGAGATAACTTTTATCTGAGAGGCCTATCTGTATGGCAGGGCAAACATCTAATTACCAAACATCTGTTCTCCTTATTGTCCTGTGAATTATCCTCCTCCCCTTTGAAGCCCCAAGCCCCTATCCTATTCCTTAGCTCAGGATGGCATATAAGCCTCAACTGCCTATCTTGCCACTGGATCTCATATTCTTATGGGGCTCCCATATGTACATAATTAAATTAGTTTTTCTCCTGTTAATCTGTCCTATGTCAATTTGATTATTAGATCAGCCAAAGAACCTAGAAGGATAGAAGGAAAATTTTTCTACCTCTACAGTTGAAACACTTATTAATATCCACTAGTGTTCTACATGTAGTGGCGTGTCCTTTCCAGGATAATTATATTTTTTCCTCTTTAGAGAAAGGAGCTGCCAGTCACTCTCCATATGGGCAGTCAGAAGGGCATCCTGGAGCAGGTCTTCAAGAGGCCATCTCAGTTATGCAGATGTTCATCAGACAGATGGAGAGAAGTCTACAGTGAGGGTGGGCCAGTCACCATGAGAAGTCCAGGGAGGGAAGAGACTTATATGTCCAACCCCTTTGTCCTGAGATTTGGAGTTAGAAGGATCTATCAAGGTAGAGAGAGTGGCCCTTTTCAAGGCCTAATGCCAGGAAAGAGTAATAGGCCCCATGCAATAAGATTACCAAAAGCTTCAAGAGAGGCTGCTCTGTTGGGCCAGCCCTAGCGCTGAGTAAAGAGGAATGCAGGGGATGGTAGCAAGACCGACAATATAATTTGTAGTGCCCAGTACAAAATAAAAATGCAGGGCCCTCTGTTCAAAAATTGCTGAGAATTTCAAGACAACAAAAGCAAAGCATTAAACCAAGGGTGGGGCCTTTCTAGGTATAAGACCCCGTGCAACTGCACAGATTGTACACCCACGAAGCCAGCCCTATGAAGCCAGCCCTGGATGGCAGTCTTGGTTTTCTGAGGCTGTGCACTAAAGAACTGTTCTTGCCCTCACTCTTATAGGGCTGCCTTACTATGTGACGAAGTAATTGGGTGTGAAATGAAATTGCTCATCACTAAGAGCTGTAACGAGATCCATTGAGGTCAGTTTCTTCATTTTCTATGGCTGCTGTAACAAATTACCACAAATTTAGTGGCTTAAAACAACACAAATTTACTGTCTTACAGTTCCATAATTCAGAAGTTTGAAATGGGTCTCATGGGGCTAAAATCAAGATATTGGCTGGGCTAGTTCCTTCTGAAGACTCTAGGGGAGAATCCATTTTGCAAAGACTTCCTGGACCCAATTCCAGCATGTGCATGTGGAGGCTTCCCCACACCAACAAGCAATTCTCAGATGCCAGCAGAGCATCTGAGAATTCAACTCAATTCTCACACTGTCTATCTGGAGATAGAGTCAGATTCCACAGGTAAAGGGGCAGTCCCACAAGACTACCCTGCACTTCAGACACCAGTCACAAGTCCAGGTGCTTCTTACCAACTGGCTACAAACTGGAGGCTCCAACAACACCCTCCAACTCAGGATGCCAATTGCCAAGTCCAGGTTGTTACCTGTGCTTCTGACCAACTGGCTATAAATCAGAGGTTCCAGTGACCCCCTCCACATGTTTGATTAATTTGCTAGAATGGCTCATAGAACTCAAGAAAACCCATTTACTCACTAGATTACTGATTTATTACAAGGGATATTAAAGGATATGAATCAACAGCCAGATGAAGAGATACATAGGGCGAGGTCCCGAACAAAGGAGCTTCTGTTCTTGTGGAGCTTGGGGCTTGGCACCTGCACATAGAAGCATTCTGGTTTCTCAGTGCGGGAGCTCTCTGTAAATAAAAGGGCCTCCGAGCTCTCCTTTTGGGTTTTTATGGAGGCTTCATTATTAGTCACGATTGACAAAGTCACTGGCCATTGGCAAATGATTCAACCTCAAGCCCCCCTCATCTCCCCAGAAAGCAAGGGGTGAGACTGAAAGATCCAAACCTCTGGTTCTCCTGGCAACCAGCCCCCACTCTTGGGTGAGGTCAGGAAGTGAGGACAAGAGCTCCCATTGCTCTTATCGCTCAGGAAATTCCAAGGGTTTTGGGAGCTGTGAGCCAGGAATTGTGGGTGAAGACCAAATATAGCTGAGAAATATATAATTTCTCAAATTATAAAAAAAAGACCAAATATATATTATAAATCACAGTATTGCACATTTCCTTGCCTTTCTCACCTTCTAGAGGCCACCCGCATTCCTCAGCTTGTGGTACACTTCCTCCATCTTTAAAGCCAGAAATGTTGCGTTTCTCTGATTATTCTTCCGTAGTCATATCTCCCCCTGACTCGACTCTTCTGCCTCCAGCTTCTACTTTTAAGGACATTGGCTAACTCAGGATAATCTCCCTAGCTGCTGATTAGCAACCTTAATTTCATCTGCAATGTTAATTCCCCCATTCCAGGTAACTTATCATATTCACAACTTCTGAGGACTAGGACAACTTTGGGGGCTTTATTCTGCCTACCACACTCAGAGAGAAGCAAACCAAATGACCTTGTCTTTAAAACAAATTATTGGAGTGTAACATACAAAACATGCCCAAATCTTAAGTGTACACCTTGATGAATTTTTATATAAATATACAGCTGTGTAGTGTATAACCACTCTCTAACATAACGCCCACTCAGATCAAGATATAAAATATATCTAGCACCTCAGAAGGCTCTCATATGCTCCTTCTCAGTCAATATCCACTCTCAGAGGCAACTAGTATTCTGTCTTCTATCACTGTATCTGTTATCTATTACAAACCACTCCAAAACTTAGTGGCTTAAAATAACAACTATTTTATTTGCACATAAATCTTTGGGTCAGAAATTTAGGCTGGGCTCAGCTGGGCAATTCTTCTGCTGGTCTCACCTGTGGTCACTCACGTGGTTGCGGTTATTTGGCAGCTGACTGGGGCTGGATGGTCCAAGATGGTCTCATACATATGTCTGGTGATTGGTGCTGGCTATCACCTGAACCTCTTTCTCTCCATATGGGTATTTAATCCTCAAAGGGTTTAGACTGGGCTGCTCTACATGAAGATTTCAGGGTAGCAAGAAGGCAACAGCAAATTGCTCAGAAGTTGTCTAATGTCACCCCTACTGCATTCTTGTGGTCAGGGCAAATCACAAGGCCATCCCAGATTCCAGAGGCAGAGAAATAAATTCTACCTCTCGATGGCAGGAGCTGTGAAAAAGCTGGTGGCCATTTTTCCCCCCCTCACATTACCATTGGTTAATTTTGCTTGTTCTTGAACTTCATATAAATGGAATCTACCAAAAGTACTCTTGTCTGTGGCTTCTGTTGTTCAACGTTATGTATGTGAAATCCACCCATGTTTTTGTGTGTGGCAGTACATTGTTCTTTTTATTGCTGTCGCTCATATTCCATTGTATGAATATACCACAATTTATTTATTCATTCTACCATTGATGAACATTTGATTTGCTTCTAGTTGTGGCTATTATAAATAAAGCTGCTGTTAATAATCTTCTGCATGTCTTTTGAAAGGTATATGTACTCAGTTATCTTGGGTATGTACCTAGGAATGGAATTAGTGGGTCGAGGGTAGGCTAGTGTTAAGCTTTAGAAGACAGCCAGCTCCAATGGCCTAGCAGTTAAAATTTCGCATGTTCTGCTTTGGTAGCCCAGGTTCAGTTCCCGGGCATGGGACCACATCACTTGTCTGTCAGTAGCCATGCTGTGGCGGTGGCTCACATAGAAGAACTAGAGGAATTTACAACTATACACAACTGTGTACAGGGGCTTTGAGGGGGAAAAGGAAGAAAAAAGGAGGAAGATTGGCAACAGATGTTAGCTCAGGGTGAATCTTCCCCTGCAAAAAAAAAAAAAAAAAGCTTTAGAAGATATTGCCAAGTAGTTTTTTAAAAAAAATTTTTCCTTCTTCTCCCCAAAGCTCCCTGGTACATAGTTGTATATTTTTAGTTGTGGATCCTTCTAGTTGTGGCATGTGGGATACCACCTCAGCATGGCCTGATGAGTGGTGCTAGGTCTGTGCCCAGGATCCGAACCAGTGAAACCCTGGGCTGCTGAAGCAGAGCATACGAACTTAACCACTTGGCCATGGGGCTGGCCTCAGTAGTTTTCTGAAGTGATTGCATTAATTTACATACCTGTAAGTAACGTATGAGAGTTTTGGTTGCTTAACATCCTTGTCAACACTTGGTATTGTCCGCCTTTTAAAATTCTGCCATTCTAATAGGTGTTTAGTGGTATCTCATTGTTGTTTTGATTTGCATTTCCTTGATGTCTAATGACGAGCACATTTTCACATGTTCAATGGTCATTTGACTATCCTTTTTTGTGGAGTACTTATTCAGTACGTTTGTGAAGTGCCATTTAAAAAATTGGGTTGTTTGTCTTTTTCTTGTTGATTTGTAGAAGTTCTTTCTATAGTCTGCCTATGAGTCCGTTATTGTATATATGTTACATAAGTGACTTGTCTTTTCCTTCTCTTAATGGTCTCTTGAGGGACAGAAGTTCTTAATTTGAACAAAGTTCAATTTATCAATATTTTCTTTCATGATGAAAGCTTTTTGTATTCTGTTGTGAAATCTTTGCCTACTCCAATGGACCTTGAATGAGTTTTATAGCTTTAACTATTACATTTAGCTCTTATCCATTTTAAGTTTAATTTTGTATACAGTGTGAAGTAGGGGTCCAAGTTTATTCTTTGGCATGTGTTTAGTTGTTCCAGCACCATTTGTTGACAAGACTATTCTTTCCCCATTGAATTGTATTGGCACAAGACAAGTCTTTGTGTTCCTCTGGTGGGAGTTTCTGTTTCAAGGACACCAAATATCTTTGTGTTGGATCATTTTTGTCCTCCATATATATTTTCTAATTGCTTTAATCTCATAGTCATTATTTTCTGCATTTACTGTGATTATTTCAAGCCTTTACTTCATGTCATTAATTTTATTTTCAGTTATGTTTATTCTGTTTCTTATTATACCTAATATATTTAATAGACCCATTATGGTGCTATTTTATTTCTCAATTTCTTCCTTAGTTCTCCAATCTCCCTTTTCAACTTTTTCTTTTGTTATGTTATTTGTCCTTAGCACTTGGTTTATTAAATTAATATTCTTATTAAGTTCTTTTATAGCACAAAAATCTTGTGGTGAACACACCTCTGTTTTTGAGATATATTATTTTCATAGTCTGAGTTCTTTTTCCATGGCATTTGTTTTCATTTTTTCAGGGATAACACGGTCATGCCTAATGTGCAAAGCTTTGTTCAGATCTTCTGTTTGCTCTGATAGACTACAGGTAAATTCTCCTTGGCATCCTTCTTCCTTTAGCTGAGATAACTTTGTTTTGCCCTAAGAGTTAGAATTTGAATACTGGATGCTGATTTCAATTCACTTTTAGGTATTCCAGTTTTGTAACAGTGAACCACTTTATTCAGACCAATTCTCCCACTGAAAACAAGTAAAAATACTCGATATATTATTAATTACAGCTTCTCAAAATATTGATAACTGACAACATAGTAAGGAATTACTATGTCAAAAATAAAGGGCAAATGGTAAAGAACATGGAAGCTCACTACTATTAACAGACAATATAGAATTTAAGGTAAAAATCATTACTAGAGATGAAAAGGGAATCTTCATACAAATAAATGTTTCAATTCACCAAGAGATGTAACAATTAAAAACGTTTATGTTTCTAATAACATGGCCTAAAAATGTAAAACCAAACATTGAGAGTACCACAGGGAGAATTAAACAAATCTACAATCATAGTGGTAGATTTCAACATACTTCTCTCAATATTGACAGTATAGGTGGGAAAAAACTCTCTCTCCCACTGTCTTTCTGTGTATATGTGTATATATATATATATGTATATATATATATGTATATGTATATATATATTATATATACATAATTTTAAAAGCACAATGAATAAATGTGTTTTTGATAAAATTTTAATTTTGAATAAATTTCAGTATATGCAAAAGTTGCAAAGATAGTACAGAGAGTTCACCAAGCGTCCCCTAATGTGAACATCTTAAGTAACCATAATAC